GCAGGGGAGGAGGAGGGAGGAGGAGGAGGAGGAGGAGGAGGAGGAGGAGGAGGAGGAGGGGAGGAGGAGGAGGGAGGGCAGAGGAGGAGCAGAAGGAGGAGGAGGAGGAGGAGGAGGAGGAGGCCGGAGGTGGCCGACGACTGCATGATCAAGGATGCCTCGATGGTCCTCGCCGAAGGAAAAACATGCACACGTCCGAGCGATGCCAGTGTGAGCTGATTTGATTCTCGCGAGGCTCTCCCCGAGATGAGAAGCAGCCACACCACCGGTGCTTCTCGTGGCCATGCCAGGAGCCCCGCCAGCCCCCTTGGCGATGGCAGAACCCGTGAGCACCGCATCGTGGCACCGGGCAAGGCCGGGAGGTGCATCGGATGGGGCCGCCTCGGCACGGAGTCGGAATCGACTCGGCTCGGCCGTGCCAGCATGCACCACGACGTCTGGCGACCATCGGGCCACGTCGGACCGTCGGAACATCTGTGGGAAAAAAGCACACAAACACACTGTGGGAAAAAAACACACACAGTCTGTGGGGAAAAAACACACAGTGTGGGAACACACACACACAGTCTGTGCTTTTTTTTCCCACTGTGTTTTTTTCCCACAGTGTGTTTTTTCGCACTGTGTGTGTGTGTTTTTTCCCACAGACAGGATCGGATCGGCCCAGAATTGATATCGGATCGGGCCGATCGGAGCAAAACGGACCCTGGCAGACAGCTTAGGGAATTGCCGAGGGCCGCCCCCGGAGCAGATCCAGCAGGGCTGCCTCCGCCTTCGGCGCCACCTGCGGAGGCCTGGTGCCGGTGCGCTTCGCGCAACAGGTGCTGCCGAAGGGCTGCGCGCTTGTCGGGGATGGACGCGCCTGGACTCGGCGAAGCGGCCGCGCCCTTGGGGAAACTGGCCGTCCAGGTCAGACCGAACGGGGCGCGGTGCACCAATTCGACCTCGTGCTGCCGAGCGCGAGCCGCCCTGCGCTGGGACCCGACCTGCACACGCCCTTGGGTAGCGGCGCTGGCCATCGCGCGGGGCGGTCGGAGCCCAGACCGGGTTGCTCTTGGGCCAGTCGGTGCACCGAGGCACGGAGCGTCGGGCGGCCACGAGCTGGACACACTCGCGGAGGCCTGGCCTGCATGGCCGTGGAAGGCCCGAGCGCCGAGAAGACATCTGGCCACGTCGTGTGTGTCCAACTCCCCGGTAGCTCTTCCCGCCACTCCTCGTTCCCGCCCCCGTCGCGCGGTGGTCCTCAAGCACCGCGCGCACGCGGCACAGCTCCCTGGGCCCACAGGGGGGGGGGAACGCCGCAAGGGGATGGGAAGCGTTTGGAATCCGGAGGAGACGGGGGGGAGGATGAGATGGGGGCGAAGAAGGAGAGGGGAGGACTGCAAGCTAGGCGCGCTCGCGCTATGGCTGACATCCCACCGTTCCCACCCATCCCTTCCCATTGCGCTGATTTCTCTTCTCTCCGCGGACGCGTGTCGTAGCGGTCCAGGAATTCCAGAAATGACTCCACCGTCTTATGCGCAATCGGAGAAAAGGGGACCTGCGTACATTGGAGGAGGATGTGGAGGATGAGCAGGAAGGCGAGCAGGAGGAACAAGAGGATAAGGAAGGAAAAGGACGAAGACGAACAGCAGCAACAGGAGCTAGAGTAGAAGGAGGAGGAAAACCAAGGGAAACCAGAGGAGGGGAAAGGAGGGGGAGACAACGCTGGTGATGGACTCGGATCCAGAAAATAATTGCCCGCGCTGGGGCGAGACCACCGCATTGAACGAGAGGACCAACGCGCCGATCGCAAAAACAGGCCAGCGAGGCAGCAGCAACACCATTATGAAACGCCGAATACGTTCCGATTGAACAGACGCAGGATGTTAACCAGCTTGGGCCCCAAACTGTGTGTTTGTAGCAAGCTAAGTGGTGCGATCTGTGTGGTGCAATGTATGTGGTGCAATGTATGTGGTGCAATCCGCCAATGTTTGAGGTTGTCCACTCCACTGCCCGCGCAAACATCCTGCCCACCCACCCGCAGCTTGGTCTGCAAACCCCATGCGGCGGCGATTGCCATGAGTGCTTGGCGCTTGCTGGTGCATCTGTGCGGCCGCGGCAGCCCGCGCACGCACGCGAGCGCAGCGGCCAACTGCTTTGGCGCGACCGACGCACCCGTGGTGACCGTGACCGCCGGGCACATCCCAGCGGGCACTTCACTGCGAGTCGGCGACTTGGGCGGACGCGGTATCATGGCAACGCCGACAACGGTAGACACAATGATGATAGTAGCGATGCTGGTGGCGATTTGACAACGAAGGCGCGGCCAGTGCGGGCGCCGATGCTGATCACGCCTGCGACGATGACGGCGTCCTCGCGTCGGTGATGAAGGTTTTGGAAACAATTCGACATGCGCGCGCGGCCGATGCGCGAGAGTGGCCTGCATGGCGTTATTTGATACGGATCGCGCCCCTCCCCCCAGCACGCGCGCAAGGGCGTGCGAATGATGTTGGCATCCGGCGCGAGAGGCCCGTCTGGCAGAATTCCATGACAATGTTGAAAGACCTATGTTTTCCCCAAGAACTCGCAAGGACGCGAGCGAGTTTTTTTTGAAAACGGATGTTGCGAAACATTGTGTTTTGCACATTTTTTGGAACTCGGTTGTTAAACCGTTACGAAGCCGAGTTTTTTTTAACAGATTACGGCATGCGCGCGCGATGACGCGTGCGCGTGAACTCCGACTTTGTTTTTGCAAAACTAGTTTCTCGCGACGGCACGCGTGAAATTGCATTCGAACGAGTTCGACATGCGCGCGCATGAAGCCCGCTTGGTAGCATTTTCGGAACATGTTGAACGACCAAATGGTTTTTTTCATGAATTCGCACGATAGCGCGCAAGCTTTTTTTCAACGTCCGTGTGGCGGAACATTCTTTGTTGACGCTCGATTTTGAAATTATTACGAAGCCGACTGCTTTTGGAAGAGTCCGGCATGCGCGCGCGACGACGCGCGCGTGTGCACTTCGTCTCTTTTTTTTTGTTGCAAGGGACTCTTGACACCCTATGCCTTTTGATGAGCAAATGTGCGCGCATAATTTCTTTTTGCAGAGGGTGGCAGGGGGGGGCGGATACCGGCCCCCCTAGGATGGTGTGAACTCATATTTCGGCTAGACGATAGGGCCAAACCGTATGTAAATTGCAATACGGAGGGGGGGCGGATAATCCTGGGGGGAGGGGGTGGGGGTAGAGTCTATTCTCTTTGTTGAAAAGAGAATCTACCAATGCTCAACTTGAAAGTGTCCACTCCACTGCCCGCGCAAACATCCTGCCCGCCCACCTGCCGCTTGCTCAGCAAACCCCATGCGGGGGCGATTGCGATGAGTGCTCGGCGCTTGCTGGTGCATCTGTGCGGCCGCGGCAGCCCGCGCATGCACGCGAGCGCAGCGGCCAGCTACTTTGGCGCGACCGACGCACCCGTGGTGACCGTGACCGCTGGGCACATCCCAGCGGGCACTTCACTGCGAGTCGGCGACTTGGGCGGGCGCGGTAGCATGGCAACGTCGACGACGGTAGACACAATGATGATAGTAGCGATGCTGGTGGCGATTTGACAACGAAGGCGCGGCCAGTGCGGGCGCCGATGCTGATCGCGCCTGCGACGATGACGGCGTCCTCGCGTCGGTGATGAAGGTTTTGGAAAGAATTCGACATGCGCGCGCGGCCGATGCGCGAGTGGCCTGCATGGCGATATTTGATACGGATTGCGCCACTCCCCCCCAGCACGCGCGCAAGGGCGTGCGAATGATACTGGCATGCGGCACGAGAGGCCCGTCTGGCAGAATTCCATGACAATGTTGAAAGACCTATGTTTTCCTCAAGAACTCGCAAGGGCGCGAGCGAGTTACTTTTTTTTTGGGTAAAAGCTGATGTTGCGAAACATTGTGTTTCGTATATTTTTTGAAACTCTGTTGTTAAACCGTTACGAAGCCGAAAGTTTTTGACAGATTACGGCATGCGCGCGCGACGACGCGTGCGCGTGAACTTCGACCTTGTTTTTGCAAGACTAGCTTCTCGCGACGGCACGCGTGCAATTGCATTCGAACGAGCTCGACATGCGCGCGCATGACGCCCGCTTGGTAGCATTTTCGGGACATGTTGAACAACCAAATGGTTTTCTCAAGAATTCGCACGATAGCGCGCAAGCTTTTTTTCAACGTCCGTGTGGCGGAACATTCTTTGTTGACGCTCGATGTTGAAATTTTTACGAAACCGACGGTTTTTGAAGGGCTCCGGCATGCGCGCGCGACGACGCGCGCGCGTGCACTTCGTCTCGTTTCTTTTGTGCAAGGGACTCTTGACAACCTATGCTTTTTGATGAACGAGTGTGCGCGCATAGTATCTTGTTGCAGAGGATGGCAGGGGGGGGGCGGATGCCGGCCCCGGGGGGAGTGGGGGTAGAGTCTATTCTCTTTGTAGAAAAAAGAATCTACCACGCCCGCTCGCCCGCAACTTGGTTTGCAAATCCCATGCAGCGGCGATTGCGATGAGTGCTTGGCGCTTGCTGGTGCATCTGTGCGGCCGCGACAGCCCGCGCATGCGCGCGCGCAGCGGCCGGCTACTTTGGCGCGACCGACGCGCCCGTGGTTGCCGTCACCGCTGGGCACATCCCAGCGGGCACTTCGCTGCGAGTCGGCGACTTGGGCGGGCGCGGTATCATGGCAACGTCGAGAACGGTAGATCCGATGATGATAGTAGCGATGCTGGTGGCGATATTGACAACGCGAAAACGCGGCCAATGCGGGCGCCGATGCTGATCGCGCCGACGACGATGGCGGCGTCCTCGCGTCGGTGATGAGGGTTTTGGAACGAGTTCGACATGCGCGCGCGGCCGACGCGCGAGAGTGGCCCGCGTGGTATTATTTGACGCGTACCGTGCCACCCCGCCCCACCACCACGCGCGCAAGGACGCGCGAATGATGCTGGCGTGCGGCGCGAGAAGCCGGTGTGGCAGAATACCGTGAACATGTTGGAAACAAACCATTGTTTTTTTCAAGACTTCACAGGAGCGCGAGCGCACGCGTTATTTGAAAACAGATGTTGTCAAACCCTGTGTTTTTGTATGTGTTTTTTTTGACATCTGTTTTTGAAATCGCTGCGACACCTACGGTTTTTGGCTGATTTCGGCATGCGCGCGCGACGACGCGCGCGCGTGCAATTCGTATCTGTTCTTGCAAAAAAAAAACTCTCGACGGCACGCGCGCAATGGCGTTCGAACGATTTCGGCGCGCGCGCGAAGCTCGTTTGCTTGCATTTTTTGAACATGTTGGAACACCAATGGTTTTCTTATGATTCGCACGAGAACGCGCGCGCAGTTTTTCAACGTCCGTGTTGCGAAACGTTTTTTTCAACATCCTAAGTGGGGTTCTTGTTTTCTCTGATTGGCCGCGGGCCACGCGCGCCCGCGCGCGCCCACGCTCAGTCACGCACGCGCAAACACACGCGCACATCATGATCATCATCCTCGGGCATTCCATGCGAGCCCGCTCGCGCGGAAAGGGGTTCCAACGGCTATCGGCGTCGGCGAGCCCGCTCGAACGGAATGGCCCTCAGGGGCATTCCATGCGAGCCCGCTCGCGCGGAAAAAGGGGCCTCCCCTCTGGCCCCTAGGGGGGTCCACCTAAACATTGGAAGTCCAACGGCTATCGGAAGCAGCGAGCCCGCTCGAACGGAATGACCCTCAGGGGCATCCCATGCGAGCCCGCTCGCGCGGAAGGGGCCTCCCCTGTGGCACCCAGGGGCCCCGCCTAAAGCATTGAATTCCAGCGACTATCGGAATCGGCGAGCCCGTTCGAACGGAATGACCCGCATTCCATGCGAGCCCGCTCGCGCGGAAGGGACCTCCCCTGTGGCCCCAAGGGGGTCCCACCTAAAAATTGGAAGTCCAACGGCTATCGGAATCAGCAAGCCCGCTCGAACGGAATGGCCCTCGGGGGCATTCCATGCGAGCCCGCTCGCGCGGAAGGGACCTCCCCTCTGGCCCCTAGGGGGTCCCACCTAAACATTGTAATTCCAACGGCTATCGGAATCAGCGAGCCCGCTCGAATGGCCCTCAGGAGCGCTCCATGCGAGCCCGCTCGCGCGGAAGGGCACCTAAACATTGGAATTCCAACGGCTATCGGAAGCAACGAGCCCGCCCGAACGGAATTACCTTCAGGGGCGTTCCATGCGAGCCCGCTCGCGCGGAAGGGACCTCCCTTGTGTCCCCTGGGGGGTCCCGCCTAAAACTTGGAATTC